CCCCAACAAAGTTGGGGTTTTTTGGAAACCCCCCTGGGTCCCCCAATTTTTGGGGCCCGGTAAAAAAACCCTTTGCCAGCCTGTTTTTCCCCGGGGGGCCCAAAACCCCCCCCCCCCCCCCGGAAATACATGGGATATTTTCTGTCAACAAAAAATGAATAAAATAAATATCTTTTATACTGTAAATACTTTTTGAACTGCAGTATTTGCAGTAAGTACGTCAGTAGCCTAAGGCTATCAGCAAAAGTATAAATATATAGTGTTATATTTAACTAAGAATTCTGTTAGTTGTAAGGAACTTTACTATTAATGTTTGATATAATCCATTAATAATGTGTACAAGCGTATTTTAAGTACCATAATCTGCATGTTATATATCACCTTAATCCCTATGAGTTATGTTTGATAATCTAGGGCATTTGGTTTTTGTACTCAAGCAGAATAGTTGTTATATGTATACTGTATTATTGAGTTATTTTCTTCCTATATTATTTGTCTGTTTACTCTAGACTTATAAGAGAGTAAGAATTAAAGTGGTCAGGATCTATCTCGAAATGAGAAAAAATGTATGAGTTTTTCTAGTTCTGAAAAACTTTCAATAAGCAAGTATTTCACGGCCAGCGTGGGTCCAGTGGATGACTTGCACTCAGTAATTTAAAAGTTTCTGGCGGAATAGAAAGCAAAAGTGTTCTATATCATCTTCACGACGGTTTTAGTATTGATTGACTTTCATTCAAAATGTGAAGGCCGCGACATTCCTGTCAATAAGGCTGAGTTACTCTGATATACAGCTTCATAAATACTAGAAAACATTCAGATATTAAGTAGGGAATGAGGAAACGGTATACCATAAAGAATGAGATACCATTGTATGCCATCTCGTCATTATTCATTTACAATTCTAAAAGTCCCTTGCACAGTGGGCAATCAAGCGAACATTAGGCGAAAAAACGAACAGTGTTTTCGATAGTAGTTTTGGCGGGAGTTGGCGAGCCTGCTGAGTAACTACAGTTTTTTTATTGAGTAACGCATTTTTTGACTAAGATTTTTTTCTGAGTAACTCAGTTACTCAGAAGCTAGAGAAAATCACTTACTCAGGTGCATAAAAGGTAGTTTCTCAACTTAAATTTCTTAAAAAATTTGAGTAGTAAAAATTCTTTGAGTAACTGTACCCAAACGAGGGGTTGGTTTGCCACCCCCTAATCGGTGACGCTGAAAACGAAAGTGAACCATTTCAGGATTCAAATAGCAGGTCATATACTTCAGCTTACGCTCTATTTAAATGGCATTGGAAGTTTTTTTCCAAGTGCCATAGTTAATGAGAAAATCGACGCGAAAGTTTTTGTAGCAAAACAGACGGATGAAGAGAAAAATTATTTTGCGCAAAACAATACGATAGTTATAAAAACCATACACAGTTTGACGCTAGAGCTTTCACTCTATCTATTTGTAAAAATATTTTTTTTTGTGAGATGCTCTGGGAAAAGGGGTTTTCTTTCTCCACTAGGTGTTTTCCGAAGAGCGGATTTCAGTATAGTGGGATTCCCATTTTTTCCCAACCTCCAAATTGAACGAAACTTTCATAGAATATTCGTCTACTAGCAATACATCTATGCTGTTAGCGCAAATTAGTGCAAATGTTTCTGGACCGAGTTATAAGTTTTCTAAAAAACCGTTGGCTTTTGAGATAAATTTGACTTTTCTCGTTCCAGAAGCGACTGTATTAAAAATAACAAGATATTCGTAATCAGCGCACAAAACTGCGTCGAATGATGTGCAATTTGTAAAGTTTTCTGTACAAAATTTTTCGATCTAACGGAATCCTAGATCTGAAGCACTATCGCGGCAAATTTTGACTAGGCGTTTTTATATTTATTTTAGCAGCCGCGCCATTTATGCTCTTTCAATGGCGTGGTTTACAAAGTTCAAAAATATTTTTATATAGGTTTTATGGAGATTTGGATCCCTAGAAAATACATTTCTGAACACTGTAAATCACACCATTGAAAAGAGCATATCTAAAAATCTAGAAAAACAGTATTTGTAGGTTTTCGCACTAATTCTATAGCATATGTCCACTTGCCTAGCCAAAGTTGCTCACTGTGCGTTGTAGGCTTGAGAAGCTTCTTGTTCTGCATAACTCTCTCTTTATTCGGTGTTTACTCGTTAGTATTTGAAAAAATAACGTAAA